TCGAAGTGTTGTAAGATTCATGAATGTAATAGTATTGTTTGCTCTTCATATCGAGTACTTGGTATTAAATGTAAGCGCGTTTTACCTCGTACTAAGCAAGAATTTGACACATTAAAAGCAAAGGGGCTCACTTATTCTGATGGACAATACGAGCCTACTTCAACTGGTCAATTTCATAAGCAGTGTTATTTTCAGTTTAAAGATCGAAAGACAATGAAGCAGGTTAAAATTATGTTTGGTCATCATAGTATGAGTTTTTCTTCGCATTTATATGGCGATTCAGAACAAAATCATGACTATAGCATAAAACTTTGGAATCATTATAAGAATCCTTTACATGCAAAGAATTGTCGTTGTGATTATTTTGATAGATATAAAACATGTAATGCCTGCACTGCCGAGTGTGCTGAACAGCGTACACTGGCTCGTTGGCATAACATAGATAATCTCGAATTGTCACAAAACATGGTAGAACCTTGAGAGTTTAGAATTTACCATAATCTTTCTGCTTCTAAAGAGGTGTTAAAATTTGATGGATTTAAGAAACAGTATTTTGAAGATTCTGATTATGTAGAGTGAATTGTTGAAGAGGGTATTTCTACTCGAGAGATATTAGATGATATTAAAGAAAAGCTTCCTTGGTTTTGGTTGCGTTCTTTGCAAGATCTTTTTTTTCTTGAGGAACAGAGAGAAAAACTTTTAAATAAGAAGCTTAAGAAATTTTAGTAATTTTATTTTTTTTTAAATTCTTGGTATGTATTATATTACTAATATAATAATAATTAAAAATATAGGTGTTCTGTTACATTTTACATTTATAGAGTGGGTGGTGCAGGTAAATCAGGGATAGTATCTGAGCTTTTATCAAGTGAATTATATGTCAAATCAAAAAAACAAAAATCAGGTTCTAATTGGTGGAATGGATATAACAAATATAAGATAGTTCTTTTTGATGAGTGGTATACATGTATTGATTGGAATGATATTGTTAAATATCTCAACAATACTCCAGAAGATGTTGAGCAAAAACACAAAGGATTTATTCTGTTTCTAGCTAAATATGTATTTATGACATCTTATAAGCCTCCGGAGAAAGCTTTTAATTTTCACCATAATCATATTAATGATGAATCATTTACTCAACGAGATTGGGATCAGTTTTATCATTATCTTGATTTTATAATTGAGTTTACAGGGAAGTGGAATGATGATATAGACCAATGCACTACCAAGCTCATATTTCACAAGGATTCGAAGGGAGATTTTCACAACATGAATTGGGATGTTAAATATTGTAAGGGTAAATTTACTGTTGATAAGCTAAAAACTATAGTTCAAGGTTTAAATCAAGAGCAAGATGGTGAGGTGATCATAAAACAGAATCAGGTTTACTGGTATCGTTGTTTTCCTGAGTTCAAGAAGAATTATTTATGCGATTATTCTAGATGTTACAAGCTTTCTGACTACAAACAGGAGCTTTTACAACAATCATGATTAGTTTTATCTTTAACTATACTGAGAAAAAGATCTCAAGAACATATATCTGAATCTGAATCATATTTTGATAATGATTCTGACTATAGTCATCAATAATCAATAGCCAAGTCTAGCATTACAGTTGCTGTGAGAAAAAAACAAAGATTTGTAAACGATTCAGAGTATGAAATTGAAACAATAAATGATAATTTTACATAATATTTAGAAAGGAATGGTCCAAGTTTTGCCGAAAGTCAAAAAAATTTTAAAGAATCTAATTTAAACAGAGATAATGATGGATTAAATTGTTTTACTTTAACTCAAAATACTGTTTACTTTAAAATTGTTAAAAATAATAATACTATCTTATCGATAGAAATTTAATTTTTTGTGATTTTTTCATTCTATATTTACTATTAAATAATTATAAATAAATATATTATATTTTAATTCTTAATTTTTAGCTTGATTGCATGGTTGTTCATCGAGTTACGAATATTTTTTATTTGCAACAGCTAACGAAACGTGGTTTATGATTCTAATATTAGACATTCACATTTTGGAAAAAGCAACAATCTTAATTTTATAAATAAAATTTATTTTATTTAGTTAAGATTTAATATTTAAGGTACACATACATACACGTTTATATTTGCATCGTGATTTATTAATATTCAGATCCTACTCAAAAAGTAAAACTTTTGATTACCAAAATCAATTCATTCTCCCATTCTCATTTTATTTACTTTAAAGTAATTTGATTGCCAAATCTAACTTTAAGAGTAATATAATTACGAAATATCGTGAAAATGCAAAAAAATATTTTTTATTATTACATGTTTAAAATAATAATTTTATATATACAAGTAAATACAAAATTACATAAATTTATATTCTTGAAAATTTCTTGCAATAAAAAATAATAATTCTTTAACGTTAAACCATTCTTGCCCACTTGTGTCTTCCCATTCACCTTTATCTTCTCTTTCAATATTAAATAATTGCATTTCGTCAAACCTTGTTAGTTTGACTTTTTTAGAATATAACATATCATAGTTAGGATTTTGTATTATAATCTCAACTACTTACTTTACACTTGGACCTTCTTTACATATTTCAGCCATTTCAGAATGAAATTCTTCTTTAAAAAGATTTAAATAAGAATATCCAGCAAGATTTGGAGTAGCGAGGAAAAAGAC